CTTTCAGATGCAAAGCTTTACACATTCTAACTTTAAAGGGATTATTAGAGAGACAACACTCACTGGCCCTACGACACTGGTTGAAGTACATCTAAGTCTCATTGCTTTAGAACTTCAAAGCTTTTATTCTTTGAATTAGGATGAACATAGCAAACAGTTGGTGAAAACGGAGATAATTTAGTACCTGACACAACATTAGTAATACAGTAGTCATAGCAGAAGTGGACTGTAGAAATTCAAGTGTCGGTGAGTTTTGCTAGAGGCCGTTCACATGCATGCATTTGCACTACAGGGGAGAGCCAAGGTAACAAAGACACTGTGGAATGAAGATAAACTAATCCGCCTAAAGTCTTCCGAAAAGTAACATTTCCAATCTTCTCTTTCTGTCTTCAGCCTCGGCCCACATCCACTAGAGAAGGGACAGCAAACGTTTGCTGAGCATGTGGAAACTGAGTTGACAGGAAGAAACAAAAGTAAAGGAAAACAGTTCCACACAGACTCCTGAAGGAAATCTTACCGAGAGTATAGTCACTCCTGGAAAGGAAGAGATGCTGTGCAGTCTGACCCGAGGCAAAAGTAAGTCTGAAGTGATGAGGGAATTCAGAGTTCAGGTCTGTTAATAAAGCTGTGCTAGCACATGCTTGTAATCCCAGCACTGAGGCCAAAGCAGGAGGACTACTCCAAGTTCAAAGCTAGCCTAGACCAGTACTAGTCAGTACCAAGCCAGCTAGGGATATACAGCAAGACTTCTCCAAAATGGGGTGGAAGAGTGGGGGTGGCGTTTAACAATTAAAAAGTCGGTTTTCAATGGGAGAAAGCAAATCAGCTGATTTCCTCACTCTTCTGTATCTCTGTTTCCATTTCTGTAGCTAAAACCCTGGTCTACTCCTTCACTTCTCTGATTCTATTAGGAGCCTTCTACACAGCTCTATCTACTGACTTTCCCTTTCCAAAAGTGTGGTTTATTCTCCAGACAGCCCACATTTCCTTCCACGTTGCCACCGTTTTTATGAGAAGTGTACCCTTTAGGAGGCGTCTCTGGTCACCAATCCACCAGATAATCACATTCTCCTCTGGCTGCTTTTGCACTAATTCTGCTCCTTGCACAGTCTGTACTTACTGTTCCGAACCACAATCACTCCTTTATGTCAGCTCCACTAAACTCTTCAAAGGGAACAACATCCTCCTCATTCCTACTCCTCCAGCATCTAATTCAGTTTCTGATACAGAATAGATTTCTATCAATGTTTGTTTGATTTAACTCAAGTGAGCAATTAAACAAATGAGTAACCTCCCAACTAAGGGAAATTAGAAAACAAAAAATGTTCAAATTCACACTATTTCAGATAGCCTTCCTGCTCTTCTGAATACTAATACAGAATTGTCCATTTTCTGGGAATAATTTTGAACACTACATTAACAGGGTCTTACTCTGAAAGAACACTGTGTCTTTTCAAGTCTGAGTCAGTACCAGAAAAGGATGCACTATAAAAAAAGAAAGAAAGAAAGAAAAGAAAAAGGTTATGCTTGCTGTGGAAGTAGCTAAAGGAAGCATTTGGGCGTTTGCATTTGTTTAAAATATATATTTCGGTGTGAAATATAGGGAGTATTTAATGGTATCAGTAGCAAATTGGGGACTTTCACAAATTAAGTAGAGTAGGTTTCTGAACAAAACTGAAAGCAAGAATTACTAATAACTTTAAGATTTACTAAATGGGTTCCTAGATCAAAATGAATCCATCAACAATTTTTAATAGAGGCATTCTGTCTGAGCAACAGCAATAACACCAGTACCCAAACCAAACTCTTCTGGACCTCAGGAGACTCTGAATACAGTCAATCATTGTAACTAAAAACATTTCTAAGGTTCACAAAATACAATGTTATACCTAATCCTAAGTACAAACAAACTGTACTTTTGGTTAAACTTAGTTGGTAATTTTTTTTTTTTTTTTTTTTTGAGGCAGTTCTCATGTAGCTCACCCAGGCTGGCCTCCAATTCACAATCCTGTCTCAACTTCCTAAATGCTGATATTACCATCATGGACTACCTTGCTTGGCTGGAGATCTCTTCTGAAATGAAAAATATCTTTTTTTTGTTCAAAAACATATTATCATCAAATACCCCATTTCAGATCCACCCAATTAATAAAGCAGATTATCTAAAAAGGAATTCTGTGATTCTTTGAATGAATTTGTAACAATCAAAACAATAATTTGGGGCTTGGGGAAACAGCTGTGTCAGAGAAGTGCTATCCGGAAGCATAAGGAATTCAATACCCAGAAACCATGTAAAAAAA